GCGGCGCGACGGNAGGGGAGGGAGAGAGGGAAGGGAAGGGAACGTCGGTCGGACGGGGAAGATGCTCGCGAGAGTCGCGACGGGATAGATNCGTNGGACGCGAGCGACGACGACGACGACGACGACGACGACGACGACGACGACGACGACGACGACGACGACGACGACGGAGGGGGAAGAGGCGTCGCGCGCGGGACGCACAGCTCGTACGAGGTCCTCGGGACGTTCGGGACGGTGATCGTCACCGGCGGCTTGCGGTTCAGCGGCATCGCGGCATCGGTTTGTGCCGGACGAGGAAGAGACGTAGACGCTGACTCGTTGCGTTGCGTTGCTCGTCGAGTCTTGTAGCAGCAGATACGGCGAAGAGAACATTTGAGACTCGTCGCGTCGCGCCCGCTCACACGAGCATGCGCGCGGCGTGAGAAGGTCGCCGCGCCGAGACCGAGACTCGCGCGCGCGGGGGAAGTGGGGACGCCGCTCTCGTCGCGCGGCGGCGGCAAAGGCGCGGGCGCGATGAGCGTCGCGGCCGCGGCGGCCGCGAAGATCCAGCGGCGGTACCGCGAGTGGCGGACGCGACGTTTGATGAAGCGGCACCGCAGGCGCCTCGTCGCGGGCAGCGACGACGACGACGACGACGACTCGTCCTCGGAGGACGACGACGACGCCGTCGACGACGAGCGCCGCCGTCTGCATCGCGCGTCCTCCTCCTCCGCCGCCGCCGCGCCGCCCTCGGAGGCGCGCCGACGCGCGAAGCTCGTCAAGTGCGCGCTGCTCGCCATCGCGTGGTTCACCCTCAGGTGCGTTCTATACACTGGTCCCCATACGACCCCGTTCGCGTGGTGAACGTCATTCCTTAAGGACTTTGCCCGGCGCGTCTCTCCACCCATCCCTCGCGTTCAATCCCCGCCCTCGACGCCTTTGAACTCCACCTGACGCCTTTGAACTCCACCCCGCCATCGCTTCGTACGGAACGACCCTCAGCACCGGACTCGCGGTCTTCAACAAGGCGCTCTTCGGCCAGCGCAAGGGCGGCTTTCCCGCGCCGCTGCTCTTGACGGCGTGCCAGTTCGCGATGCAGTACGCGCTGGCGTCGGCGATCGTCCACCGCGCGTTCGGAGGCGCGCTGAGGCCGAAGCGCGAGGTCCCCGCGGAGGTGTACTGGCGCCGCGTCGCGCCCGTGGGAGCGGCGATGGGAATGGACATCGCGCTCAGCAACCTCTCGCTCGTCTTCGTCACCGTGAGTTTCTACACCCTCGTGAAGACGTCGAGCATCATCTTCCTGTTGCTGTTCGCGTTCGCGCTGAAGCTCGAGCCGGTGTCGTTTCGGTTGATGGGCGTCGCCGCGTTGCTGACGGGGGGTCAGGCGTTGACCGTGGACGGCGAGACGCGATTCGACGCGCGCGGGTGCGCGTTGGTCGTCGCCGCCGCCGCGTGTTCCGGGCTGCGATGGACGCTGTCGCAGATCGTGTTGCAAGGGAAAGAGCCCGGCGGCGGCGGCGGCGGCGCGGGTGATAATAAGAATACGAACGGTCGCGACGGTTCGCGTCGCGACCCGCGCCGCCTCCGCAAGAGCTACGGACTGTCGCACCCGGTCGTGATGTTGAAGACGATGACGCCGCTCATGTGCGGCGTCGTGCTCGCGTTCAGGCGCGTTCTATACACTGGTTCCCATACGACCCCGTTGGCGTGGTGAATGCCGATCCTTAAGGACTTTTGCCGGCGTTTCTCTCTTCCCACCCCTCGCTTTCGATCACCGCCCTCGGCGCCTTTCAACTTCGACTGACGCCTATGAACTCCACCCCGACGTTCGCTCGTATGGAACGACCCTCAGCCTCCTCACGGAGCGGCCGTGGGACGCGCTTCCGGGCAGCGCGTGGCTGTCCGGGCCCGGCGATTTCGTCGTGGATTTGATGATCGTGACGTGCGGCGCGTGCGCGGCGCTGGCGATGACCGTCGCGGAGTTTGAGGCGCGTCCCGTCCCGCGCCGCGCGCCGGTCCCCGTACGACCGCGTCCGCGCGGCGCGCGCCGATCCTCGAGGACTTTCTCTCCCGGCGTGCGTTTCTCTCCGCTTCGTCGCTCTCTCTCGTCCGATGAAACAAACGTCCACGTCATCAAATACCTGACCAATCACATCACTTCCCGCCACGTCGCCCACCGATCGAACGACCCTCGCTCAGCTCCTGAAGGAGACCTCCGCGGTCACGGTGATGGTGATCGGCGTGGCGAAGGACGTCGTCCAGGTGCTGACCGCGATCGCGGTGTACGGGGACGCGTTCGGCGTCGAGAACGGGATGGGGATGGCGCTCGTGCTGGGCGGGATCGTCGCGTACAACAGGCACAAGGCGCTCGCGGCGGAGGAGAGGGCGGCGGCGCTCGGGACGATGGCGGGGGCGGGGGCGGGGGCGGGGGCGGGGGAGGGCGTCGCGCGCGGACCCGGACTCGGACTCGGGGGGTCGGCGGAGAGGGAGATCGGGTTGCCGAGGGTGGTGCCGAGGCGCAGCGGCGGGCTGAGCGCGGTGCCGAACCTTCCGCGGCGGGACGCCGCGTCGTAGCGCGCGTCGAGCCGACGCGCCGCGCCGCGCCGTCGACGCTTATTAGCCTCTACTCGCGACGAAAAAATATATATTGTATCGACAAGATCTCGTCTTCGCTCTCGCCGGCGCCTACGCCCCCTCGAGCGTGGGCTCGACCTCGTCGAGGAGCGCCTTCGCGACGGCGAGCTCCTCCGAGTCCGCGCACTCCTCCCCGTGCTCTTCCTGCGCGATGCGGGCGAAGGAGGGGGGGTGGCGTCAGTCGGTCGTCGGGCGAAATTCAAACGAGCGAGAAGCAGAGCGCGGGCGAGAGAAAAGTCAACTCGTCGCGCGCACCGTCGCCGCGAGCAGTTCGTTGAACGCGTTCTCCATCCGCGTCTTGCAGTCGCCGATCATCATCGAGCTCTCGCCCAAGACCTGATCTTGCTGCCGGACGTCGTGCGGGTCGCGCCCCTCGGCCTTCATCGTCTCCAACTTCGCCGTCTCCTTCGCCACCTCATCGGAATACATCGCGAGCTCCCTCCTCACGCGCGTCAGCACCCCGGTCTTGATCTTGAGCGCGCGCGTCGCCTCTCTGTTGTCCGCCGTCATGACGACGCTCGCCGGCTTCGTACGGCGGGAGGAGTTCGCGCGTCGTCGAGCGCGCGGTGGGCGGGAGGATCGTCCGGTGCGCGGAGAGTGACGGCGACGGACGCGGCGATCGCGCGCTGGTTTCCGCTTCCGCCCGCGGTCGAGACGCTCGCCTGCGTTGCCACCGTTTCAGCGACGCGTCGGCGAAGGCGGACGGCGAATCGTCTTCCCTCCATCGCGTCGCGCCCCCGAAGCCGCCGATCGCGAGCGCGACCGATACCGCGGCGAAGAAGCCGAGGACGAAGATGAAGAGCCCCGCGGGGGCGTCCACGCGCGCGGACATCGCGCAGTGGGCGGCGGAGGCGCGGAGGGGACGACGCGACGACGGAACGCGCGAAAAAACGCCTCGCCGTCTCCCTTCGCGTGTACGATATCGACGCGACGGGACGGGACTGCTCGTCTCTACAGTACGTCACGTTACTAGGCCCTACTCGTCGTCCTCGTCGACGATGTCCGGAAGCTCGCCGTCGCTGTCGTCGTCCGACAGCTGCACCGCGACCGCGGCCTTCCCGGTGCCGAGCCCGACGCGCGGGGGCGCGGCGGCGGCGGGCTCGACGCTCGCCGCGGGCGCCGCGGGCGCGGGCGCGGGAGCCTCCGTCTTGCGGCGCTTCGACGGCGGCGCCTTCGCCGCCGCCGGCGGCGACGCCGCCGCCGCGCCTCTCCGCGTCGACCGCGTCGTCGCCGCCGCCGCCGGCGGCGGCGGCGCCGACGGCGCGTCGTCGTCGTCCGAGTGGTCCGCCTCCCGCAGCCGCCGCTCCGCCGCGCGCGCCCAGAACGGTTTCGACGCGTCGTCGCGCGCGCCCGTCGACTTCGCCGCATCAGCCGGCGCTTCCGTCGTCTCCGTCGTCTTCGCATCCACTTCTTCTTCCTCCTCCTCCTCCTCCTTCTCCTCCTCCTCCTCCGACTCCGCCTCTTCCTCGGCGCCCAACTCCTTCGACGTCGCCGCCGGCGCGGTCGCGGGCTCCTCGTCCCCCCACGTCGGCGCGGCGTCGCCCCAGTTCACCACCTCCCTCGCGCCGCCGCCGCCGCCGCCGCCGCCGCCGCCGCCGCCGATCCCGACCCCGTCCAAAGTCGCTTCTTCTCCTCGGATCGTCGCCATCGGCGGCGCGATCGCGCGCGAATGCAGCGGCGGCGCGCACGGATGCATCACTGCGTCGATCGCGGCCCCCGCGCGCAGCGCGAACCCGCGGCACGCGACGTCCTTCGTCCGCGCGACGCGGAAGACTGAGGGTCGTTCCATACAAAAATAGTTCATCGGTCAGTTGAAAGGGACCCACGCGATCAAGTGTTGAAACCGAGCTATGGGTGAAAAACGTTTGTATAGAACGCACCTGAAACCGCGAGCGGCAGATTCGGCGACCGAAACGCGCGCGGCGACAACACCGACGCGAGGAGACACGCGTAGCTTCGCTCCCTGGCGCGCAGCGCGTGCGGCTCGTTCGCCTCCGCGACCACCGCGCTCGTGTGCGGCGCGCTCGAAGAGAACGCGAGGACGTGCTCGCTCGCGGACTCAGCCGCGGCGGCGTCGCACAGGCTCCGCGTCTTCGGAGGGAGCGACTGAGGGTCGTTCCATAAAAAAACGTTCATCGGTCAGTTGATTGGAGATGCGATCAAGTGTTGAAACATACCGATGGGTGAAATACGTGTGAAAAGAACGCACCGCGCCCGCGACGGTCAACGCCGTCTCGAGGTACTCTAACGCCGCCGCGCGGACGACGCACGACGCGACGCCGAAGGCGCCGCCGGCGAGGGATCCCCCTCTCCTCGCGAGCGCGTAGCCGCCGCCGGACGACGCGAGGAAAGCCTCCATCTCGTCCGCGCCAGCCTGGCCCCACGCGCCGCCTTTGCCTCTGCGTTTAGTTTTCTTTTGTCCGACGGAGCGCGACGCGGCGTCGTCGGATCCTCCACGTTCGAAGGACTCTCCGCCGCCGCGACCGCCGAACCCTCTGACCGCGTCCAACGCCGCGTACGGCACCACCGCGCTCACGAGGTCGCCGCCGGCGGCGGCGGCCCCCAAACCCCTGGTCGCCGCTGCCGCCGTCGCGTACAGCGCCGAGCGCGTCCCCGCGCACGTCCCCGCGCGCCCTCCGCCGCCGCCGCGCCTCAACGCGTCGGCCAGCACGCGCGCGGTCGGCCCCGCGAGCCGCGCGCACGCGACGCCGCCGCACTCGAGCAGCGCGCCGACCACCTCGCACGCGCGCGCGTGCAGCTCCGGGAGCGCGCCCAAGACTTCCACCTGAGGGTCGTTCCATACGAGCGAACGTCGGGGTGGTGTTGAAAGGCGTCAGTTGGAGTTGAAAGGCGTCGAGGGCGGGGTTTGAAAGCGAGGGACCCTGGGCGGAGAGAAACGCCGGGAAAAGTTCTTAAGGAACAACGTTCACCACGCCGACGTGGTCGTATGGGGACCAGTGTATAGAACGCACCTGACACGCGACGATCGGAAGCCCCGGCGCGGACGCGACGCCGCCGCCGTCGACGTCGAGCGCTCTCCGAGCCGCCGCGAAGATCTGGTCCGCGGGCACCGGCGCCGCGGCCGCCGAGGGGAACGGCGAGGAGAGCATCTTCGTCAGGACGCGCAGGAGCGCGGTCGCGCGTCGAAGCGCGGCGGGCGCGTCCGCGGGCGGTCGAAGGGAGACCGTCCCGTCGCCGCCGCCGTCGCCGTCTTCTTCTCCTTCGCCTTTCGCGCTCCCCCCGCCTCGGCGCTGCGTCCACGCGCCCACCCTCGGCGGCCGCGGCGACCCCGCGGGAAGCAACACCGCGCGCGCCGCGCTCGACGCGCCCGCCGGCTCGACGCCGACGAGCGCGACGTCTAAGCAGTCGTGGACGTCGACGAGGACCCGCCGCGCGAGCGCGCTCCACGCCGCGGCGGGGTCCGCCGCGTTCGCGCCGCCGCCGCCGTCGACGCCGATCCCCGGCGCCGCGCCTGCGCGCGGCGTCGCCGCGAGCGCGGCGACGGCGCGCTCCCACGCGGAGGTTGAATGGTGTGAGGAGATGGACGCCCGCGCGTCGACGACGAATATAAATCGCGCGAGCGCGCGCTCGACGGCGTCTGCTCTCGGTCGCAGCGACGCCGGGTGGCCGAGCAGCGCGGCCCCCACGAACGCGATCGCGGCCGTCGCCGCGGCGACGCGGTGCGCGTCGGCGTCGTGATGCTCGGCGGCGTCCGCGGACGCGTCGAGAATCCATCGCGTCGTCGTCGGCTGCGCGCGCTGAACGATCGCCGCCGCCTCCTTCCTGACGCCCGGCACGTCCATCATCGCGCCCGCGCGCGTCACGATCGTCGCGAGCGCGTCAAGGGCGGCGATCGCGGCCGCGGTGGGCGGCGGCGCGAGGGATGAGCCCGAGGACGCCGCGGACGCCGCGGACGCCTTTGGGCCGAGGACGCGTCCGAGGAGCGCGTCGGCCCATCTCGCGAAGGACGCGACGAATCGCGCGGGGACGACGTCTCGCGCGCACTGCGCGAGGAGCGACGCCGCGGCGGCCTCGCCGCCGCCGCCGCCGCCGCCGCCGCCGCCCTTCGCGCGATTCGTCAGGAGCTTCTCGAGGTGCGCGACGTACTCGTCCAGCGCGGAGGACGCGGCGGCGACCGCGGCGAGATCCGCGCGGGAGGAGGCTCCGGAGGACGAGAGCTCGGGCGGCGCGGCGTCGGCGGCGAGGAGGTGGTGCGAATCGATCGCGCGCGTCGTCGCCGCGACGCCGCCGCCGCGCGCGAGCCTCGCGGCGGAGAGCTGCCCCGGGAGCGCGCGCAGGAGCCTTGCCCGCGCGGCAAGGCTGTGGACGTGCGCCGCGGCGTCGCCGGACATGACGACCGCCGGCGGACGAGCCCGCGCGAGGGACAGTGACGACGACGAGTGCGAGAGAGCACCCCCCGCCGCCGCCGCGGCCGCCGACGACGCGAGCCTGACGCGGACGACCGCAGCTCGAGGCGGGCACCGCGAACGGAACGCCCCCGTCCCCGCGTCCACTCGTGCCTCGCGCGCGCGCCGCCGCCGTCGTCCGGGTCCGTCCGCGACGCGCGCCGGATTTCTCCGGGAACCCCGCGCCCGCCGTCGTCCGCGCGCGCATCTCGAGGCGCGCCCGCGCGGCGTCGCGCGGCGTCGCCGCGAACGATCGGAGATCGGTCGAGTCGTCGTTCGAACTCGGTCGATCGATCGCGGCAGCGCGTCTTCTCCTCTCTCCTTCGTCTGTCCATCGTCTTCGTCGTCTTCCGGCCAAGCGGCGCGATGGCGTCCACCGCGCTCCCGAAGCGCTCCACGCGCGGTCTCCGGATGAACAAGCTCCTCGAGGACGAGGACAGCGCGGACGAGGAGTTCTGGGGCCAAGACGCGTTCGCGGAGGAGTCCGGCGACGAGGAATACTCGAGCGAGTCCGAGGAAGCGGACGTGTTCGACAAGGACTTCGACGACGACGAGAGCTCGTCGGACTCGGAGGAAGTCGTCGTCGCGAAAGAGCGACGGAAGCCCGCGCTGAAGGCGCCGGAGAGGAAGGCGCCGCCGGCGCCGAGAGCGGCGGCGACCGCGACGAAGGAGAGGGCGAAGAAGCCGCCGCGAGGCCTCGACGGGATGTCAGGTGCGTTCTATACACTGTTCCCCATACGACCGCGTTGGCGTGGTGAACGCCGATCCTTAAGGACTTTGCCCGGCGCATCTCTCCGCCCACACCTCGGTTTCAATCCCCGCCCTCGACGCCTTTCAACTCCAACTGACGCCTTTGAACTCCACCCCGACGTTCGCCCGTATGGACCCTCGACCCTCAGTGTTCTCCCCCGACGGCCTCGAGTGGAGCGACGGAGGCGGAGCGCGCGTCGACAACGACGGAGGGCTGCGGAAGTCGTCGCGCGCGAGCGTGAAGCAGATCCTGAGCGAGAGCGAGAGGAGCAGGGAGGAGAGGAGGAGCAAGGCGCCGCCGAAGCGGACGGCGCCCGCGGAGCCGGCGCGGCCGCTGACGCAGGCTGAGATTCTCGCCGAGGCGGCGGTCACCGAGGCGCGTCCCCTATCTGACACCGGTTCCCATGCGCTCCCGTTCGCGTGGTGGACGCCGATCCTCAAGGACTATCTCTCCCGGCGGGCGTGTCTCTCCGCCCATCACCCCTCGCTTTCAATCCCGACACGCCTCGACGCCTTTCGACTCCGCCTCTGACGCCTTTCGACTCCGCCCCGACGTCGCTTCGTACGGGCAATTACCCTCAGGTGTGGAATCTGCGCGACCTCGAATACCTCCTCAACCTCGAAGAGGCGACGAAGAAGAAAGCCGAGCGCGTGAAGACGACATTCACGGGGCCGACGCTTCGCGTGCGAAGCGTCGGGGATAAGACGACGATCGAGCCGAGGTACGGCGCGTCGTTGCCGGAGCCACTCGGGATGAAGGCGCCGACGCCGCCGACGCCGGAGGTGAGACTGCTTCCCATACGACCCCGTTCGCGTGGTGCACGCCGTTCCTTAAGGACTTTTCCCGTCGTTACTCTTCACCCGCGCTTCCCTTTCAACGTTTGACCGGTAAGACGTTCAACTGACCGATCGCTTCACCCACGCACAGCGGTGCGTCGTCACGGGGGACCGCGCGCGGTATCGCGACCCGCTCACGGGGCTCGCGTATAAGGACGTCGCCGCGTTTAAGGAGCTCAGGAGGAGGCACGCGGCGACGACGGCGGCGGCGAAGAAGGACGCGGTCGTGGGGGTGGTCGAGGTGCAGGCTGGGGTGGCGGCGGCGCCGGCGCCGGCGAAGGCGCCGGCGAAGGCGTCGGCGGCGGTGGCGGAGACGTCGCAGTTCGCCGTGAAGACCTTCTCCTCGGGCAGTCCGGTCGATTCCCCGAGCGGGGGGTCGGGGGGCAAGGCGAAGAAAAGGAAGCTAGCCTCGCTGAACGAGATTTCCAAGCCGTGATGCGCGGGGATGCGACCCGACGTATACCCTTAGCCGCGTTTTCAGCAGTGCGTTTACGTTTAGGATCGTCGTCGCGCGTTTCGTCGTCGCGTCGTCTCACGCGCACAAGAACGGGTCGCGCTTCAGCGCCTCGATCTCTCTCCTCACGTCCTCGATCTCGTCGAGAAGCCATCGCATCGACATCGTCGCTCTCGCCATCGGCGGCGGTGCGAGCGTCAGCGGAAGGAGGCGAACGTCGTCGTCGTCGTCGTCGTTTTTTTCGACAAACGTCGCGTGATGTAGCAGACGACACGCGCGCTCGCGGTGCGCCCCCGACGGGTCCGACGGGCTGCTCCTCGCCGGGGACGCTTTTTCGACGACGTCCTCGTCCTCGTCCTCGTCGTCGTCGTCCTCGTCCACCATCGACGGCGGCGACTCGGTGTACATCGACGACGGCGCGTACGGCCACCGCTGGTCCGCGGCGGCGGCGTCGAGGTCAAAAAACGGCGTCGCGTCCGGCGACGCCTCCTCCTCCTCCTCGCGCCGACGCGCCCGCGGCGGCGTCGTCCACGACCGACGCGCGGCGGACCAACGCGCGGCCTCGGCGAGGCGCGCGACCGGGCTCTCGCGCGGGGTGTCGCTCTCGACGTGCGACGCGATCCGCGACGTCCAGAGCGACAGCGTGGAGTGAGTTTCGCGTCGGGGGCGCGGCGGCGGCGCGCGTTCGAACGCGCCGCCGCGCGCCGAGAGACTTCTCGTCGCGACCGAGGCGCGCGTCGCGCCGCGCGACTCGCGCGCGTCGTCGCGCCTCTCCTCCAGCGCGCGGAGGCGTCGGTCGACGCTCGCGACGGACGCCTCGAGCGCGCGAACGCGTCGCAGCGTCGGCGCGGCGGCCTCGCACGTTTTGAACGAGTCGTTCGTCGACTCGGTCTCGTCGTCGTCGTCGTCGTCGTCCTCCTCCCACTCCTCCTTCGCCGTCTCCGCCGCGGTCGCGCCGTCGTCCGTCTCCGTCTCCGTCTCCGCGTCCTTCTCGAGCCCGAGCGCGGCGACGACGAGGTGCCACCCGCGCGTCGCCAGCGACGCGCGCTGCCCCGCGGCGCCGTCTCTCTTCGAGTCCTCTCCGCGAACGCGAACGCCGCCCGCTCTTAGGGTTCGCGCGCGTCCCTCCGACGAGCTCGTCGACGCGGTCGCGGTCGCGAACCGCAGCAGCGACGACCCCAGCGAGCTCGCGCCGTCGCCGGAGGACGACGTCGCGCGATCGTCGTCGTCGTCGTCGTCGTCGTCGTCGTCGTCGCGCAGGAACGACGTCGCGACGTGAAGCATCGCGCCCGCCGCGCGCGTCGGGGACGGCGGGGCGCGACCGCACTGAGACGAAGCGCAAGCGCTTCCTTTCATTTCACACTTCCTTCTCTGCTCTGCTCCTTCGAACAGAACCCTCGAAAGCGAAAAACCTCGCGCGCTCCCCCCACACAGCCACAGCCGCCGCCTCCGTCGCCCACCCCCACTCAGCGCACGCCGCGCGATGGCTCCCGACCCGCACCACGTCACCTGGCGCGCGCGATCGCCCGCGAACGCCCCGATCGCGCGCTCCTCGCACGGCGCGTCCGTGATCAACAACACCCTGTACGTGTTCGGCGGCGAGCACGTCGCGAGGACGCCCATCGACTCCGTCGTCCACGCGCTCGACCTCACCGATCCGAACGCCGCGTTCGTCGCGATCGACGGCGGCGCGAATGCGCCGCCGCCGCGCGTCGGGCACGCGCAGGCGTCGATCGAGAACGTCTTCTACGTCTTCGGCGGTAGGCGCGGCGTGGAGATGAACGAGTCGCCGCTGAACGACCTGTGGGCGTTCGACGTGGAATCGCGCGAGTGGACCGATCTCTCGGGCGGCGCCGGCGACGTGCCGTGCCCCCGCAGCTTCCACGTCGCGACCGCGGCGCGCGGCAAGCTGTACGTGTTCGGCGGGTGCGGCCCCGCGGACGCCGGACGCCTCGCGGACCTGCACGAGTACGACGTCGCGTCGAAGACGTGGACGAAGCTCCCCGGATCGGACGCGATCGAAAGCCGCGGCGGCGCCGGGTTCTCCTCCACGACGGACGGCTCGACGCTCGTCATCGCGGGCGGGTTCGCCGGCCGCGAGATGAAAGATATTCACGCGTACGACATCGCGTCGAAGACGTGGCGCGCCGTCGCGGGCGCGCCCGGCGCGCCGCCGCCGACGGCGACGAAGCTGCGCGACGCCGACCACGAGCGGCCCGCGCCCGCGCCGCTGCGGCCGCGAAGCGTGTGGCCGGTGATGGCGTTTACCTGCTACGGCGATCACGTAATCGGGTTCGGCGGCGAGGTGGACCCGTCCGAGCGCGGGCACGACGGCGCGGGCGGGTTCGCGAACGACGTCGTCGCGATCGAGGTGCGCACCGGGGACGCGAAGACGCTGCCGCTCGGTCGGGGAGGATTGGGCGCGGGCGTGGGAGGAGGAGACGGCGAGGAGGAGACGGCGGTCCCAGCCCCGCGAGGGTGGACCGCGGCGGCGGAGTGGCGCAGAGAGGGCGCGATCGTGCTCTTCGGCGGTCTGAGCGGCTCCGACGCGGCGCCGGAGCGGCTCGGGGACGTCCAGATCGGTTACATCGATCGCGGCGGGCTTCTCGCGTAGACGACGACGCGCGCGGCGCGGATGAACAGCGCGCCTAGGGTCGTTCCATACGAAGCGATGGCGGGGTGGAGTTCAAAGGCGTCAGAAGCGGAGTTGAAAGGCGTCGAGGTGTGTCGGGATTGAAAGCGTGGTGTGGGCGGAGAGATGCGCCGGGAAAAGTCCTTAAGGAACGGCGTCCACATCGCGAACGCGGTCGTATGGGGACCAGTGTGAAGAAAAATCGGTCGATCGATCGATCGATCGATCGGTCGGTAGATCGATCGACGGAGCGCGCCTTGTAATCGTCAACGCGTCCCGCTACCAACGCGTTCGACATCGAACACTCGTCGTTCGCACGCACGCTAAGCTACATCGTCTCGTCGCCGATCACGGCGCCTCCCCCGGCGTCCACGTGCACAGCTGCAACGCGTCCCTGTTCACGCACGCTAAAACCTCCCCGCCTCCGCCGCCGCCGCTCCATCCTCGCACGTCCGTGATCCCCCCGCCAGACGCGGGCAGCGACGATTTCAGCGCCTGTCGCATCCTCCCCGTGGCCGCGTTCCACACCATCACCGTCGGGCCCATCCACGTCATCGTGTGCGCGTTGTAGCCCGGCTCGGACGCGCCGGCGAGGAACACGGAGCACGCGCGCGTCGCGTGCGGCCGCAACAACGCGACGCGCGACATCACGTCCTTGTTGCGATGCCCGGCGGCGCGCGTCACGTTCGCGCGCGGGAACGGGAACGAATGCGGATACGAACGCGAACCGTCGTCGCCGCCGCCTGGATTTGGATTTGAATCGTCACCCCGCTGAAGCAGCGGTCGCGGACGCGCGCGTCCGGCGCCGTCCGGAACGGCGCCCTCGACGCCCTCGGCGGCGCTCGCGGCGCGCATGATCACGTGCGTCTCCGGGTACGAGTCAGACTGCCCGGGTTTACGGCCGCGGAACGACGCCGCCGCGGTCATGGTCCCGGGCGCCCACGCCACGGACGTGCACCCGGCGTCGGGAAGGTGCGGCAGACGCCGGACGAACGCGTCCGACACTGTGTCCGACACCGCGTCCGCCGCCATCATCGCGTCCGACGCCATCATCGCGTCCGACGACGCGCCCCCCGGCTGGTAGTAATACGCCCCCAGGGTGGTCCCGAACAAAACGCCGCCGCCGTGCTCCCGCGCGATCGGCACCACGGTGTGCACGGGCGGCCGGTGCGACCCCTCCTCCGCGGGGACTCTCGCGACCGGCTCGCTCGCGCGTCGCAGATCGTACATCAACGTCTCGCCGTTCGCGAGGCCGACGACGACGTAGTTGGGATCGCGCGCGGGATCCGCGGAGGACGCGTCCCTGGAGGACGAAACGTTCACCGACGCGCCCGGTCCCGTCGCGACCGACCACCCCCCCCACGCGCACGACCACGCGGGCGCGGGCGTGCGCACGCACGCGGCGATCCCGTCGCGCGCGAGGTCGACGACGACGAGTCGCTTGCCGAGACACGCGGCGAGCGCCCACGACGCGCCGTCGCCGTCGTCGGCGATGCGCACGTCTCGCGCCCGCCCGGAGCCCGCCGGGAGCGCGACGCTCGCGCGACTCGAGTGCGACGCGTGGCTTATTTTCGTGAGCCGCGTGCTCCCCGTGGGGGATTCCTCCGAGACGATCGTGAACGAGCCGTTGACGTCCATCGAACGCCCGGAGGAGACGTGCGTGACGAAGCGTTGCTCGTACCGTCCGCGCGCCGCCGCCGCCGCCGCCGCCGCGGCTTCTTCTTCTTCCCGCGCCGCCGCCGCCGCCGCCGCGGCCGCCGCGCGCGATTCTCGCGCGTCGCGGTTCGGGTCGAACATCGCGAGCACGGTGCCCTTGCGTCGATCGCCGCCGGCGCCGTCGCCGTCCGACGGCGCGGTGGACTTGCGCTTGTTCGCCGCCGGCGCCGTCGCTTTCCTCGTCGCGTCCGGCGCGGGCGCGGGCGCTGAGGGCCGTTCTATACAAGCGAATGTCGGGGTGGAGTTGAAAGGCGTCAGTTGGCGTTGAAAGGCGCCGAGGGCGGGTATTGAAAGCGAGGGGTGGGCGGAGTGAAACGACGGCGAAAGTCCTTAAGGATCGGCGTTCACCACGCCAACGCGGTCGTATGGGGACCAGTGTATAGGACGCACCTGACCCGGGCCCCGGTCCCGGTCGCGACCCGGACGCGTCGATCGACGACGTCCTCCTCCTCCTCGCCGCCGCCGCTACTTCTTCTTCCGCGCGCGTCGACGTCAACGCCGCGTTCCTCGCTTCGAGATCCTTCACGCGCGCGTTCGCCTCCTCGAGTTCGCGCGCCGCCGCCGCCTTCGCCTCTTCCAACTCCGCCTCGACTTTTTTCAGTCGTCCTCTCGCGCGTTCGCTCTCGAAGCTCGCCTCGATGCGTCCCGCGCGCTCTCTCGCGAGCTCCTCGTGCGCGGCGTCCACCTCGCTCGTGTCCACGAACGCGCGAAACGCGGGCACGAACAGCTTGCGCACGTCCGCGACCTTCGCCCTGCGATTGCACTGCGGGCACTTCCCGCCGTTGCCCTTCTTGTGTCGCGTCAGCCACTTGCTGATGCACGCGTGCCCGAAGCAGTGCCCGCAGGAGAGGGCGCTGACCTGGTGCGCGCCGTCGAGCGCGCAGGGTTCCAAGCAGATGCTGCACGAGAGCGCGCCCTTCGCGGCGTCGTCCTGCGACGCGGGGGGGAGCGCCGGGTCGAGGACGTCGTCCGCGTCGTCCGCGTCGTCCGCGCCGTCGCCGTCGCCGTCGTCGTCGTCGTCGTCGTGATTCGGCGCCTGCGTGAGATCTACGATGACGTCGACCGGCGCGCCGCCGCCGCCGCCGCCGCCGCCGCCGTCCTCCGCGTCGATGCCCGCGGACGCGGAGCACCGCCGCAGCCGCTCCGTCGCGGCGGCGAGGCGGCCTATCGCGCCGCCCGCGGTCGTGGACATCGCGCCTTCCCCGCGTGCGACGCGACAGCCAAGACTGAGCATTCAAACGAAGAAAGGGGCGCTCGTTTGGTACTGCACTGCGCGAGTAGCGAGTAGCGCCTGGTGAAAAATAAAATTCCAGGAAGTAACGCTACGCAGGATACGGTCTCCGCCCCGGCCTCCGACGACGACGACGACGACGCGACGCGACGCGACATGACGACGGATAACTTAATTAAAAACTCTCGTCGCGATGAACGAACGCGAACGACGGCTCCGCCGCCGGCGTCAAATAATATATCGCCGTCGCGGAAACGTCGCCGCGTCACAACTTCGGCGCGGACGCGCACATGACGAGCTTCGCGAGGCTCCCTCGCTCCGCGTTCATGTAACACTCCGCGAGCCGCTGCGTGATCTCCCCGAGCGCCTTCTCCCCCGCGACGACCTGGTCTAACAACGCCGCCGCCTCCTCCTCCGCGACTTGCGCATCCGTCTTCGGGCCGTCGAACGACGACGCCGCGGGGCCTCGCCGCGTCTCGCAAATCGCCTTGATCTCCGCCACCGACTTCCCGGCCCAGCCGCACCGCTCCAACACGTCCGCGAAATCCGTCTCCGGCCCGATCGTCGACCAATCGCAGTCCGTCACCGCGAACCGCGCGGCGTCCCTCGCCTCCTCGTCTCTTCCGAGGTCCGCGTATATCCGCGACAGGTACCAGTGCGGCCGGCCCCACCCCTCGAACGACGCCTTGTACAGATCGCACGTCACCAGCGCGCTCTGCTCGTCGCCCTTCTCCACGTGCTTCTTCGCCAGCGCCTCCATCGCGTCCGGGAACTTCCCCACCCTGAGCGTGAGGTACACCGGGAGCTCCTTCCCGAGCGTGACGAACGATCCCGGGTCGTGCATAGCGAGCCCCGTCGTCCCGGCGGCGGCGGCGACGGCGGCGACGGCGACTCCCGCGTCCGCGGACGCCTTCTCCTCCTCCACGATCGCGCGGTGGACGTACTGCGGGTCGAGGGTTAGGGTTTAAGCGACGCCGGACGCCGGGTGGAGATTGAAGGCAGGCGCATCAGTTGGAGTCGTGAGGCGTCGCGCGCGGGGATCGATGAAAGCGAGGGGCCCCGGGCGGAGAGACGAGACGCGACGGGAAAAGTCCTTAAGGAACGGCGTTCACGACGCGGACGCGGTCGTATGGGGTCCAGTGTGAGAACAGAAGGAGGACGCGCCTCCTTCGCCGTCTTCGCGAGGAGCGTCATCGACACGTCGCCGCCGCCGACGCACGAGACCACCTCGAGCTCCGCGCGCGCGCCGTCGAACGGGACGGTGACGTGGAGGCACGTCGTGTGCCCGGTGTCGGGATCGCGCGCGAGCGGGACGCAGCGCGGATGGAGCCCCGCGCGCTCCGACGGAGCGACGATCGCGCGCCCCTGCGCGGCGAGGACGGCGACGAGCGCGCCGAGCTCGCTCGGCGCGCGCACGCCGGCGACGGACGCGACGTACTCCGCGTGCGTCGTCCCGCTCGCGAGGTCCGCGGCGGCGTCGGAGGAGTCGCTCGAGGAGGAGGAGGCGGCGGACGCGATGACAGTCGCGCGGCGACGACGGATCGCGGGGCTTACGCCGACGCCTCCGCGCGGGGACGGCGCGCGCGCGGCGGCGGCGCGCGCGCGGCGCGTCGCGGACGACGCGGCACGCGGCGTCGTCGGCGTCGCGACGCGAGGGAGGGACGCCGTCGCGGCGGCGGCGGCGGAGGACATCATCGGAGCGCGTGCGTCGCGGGCGAGAGGCGCGGATCGGTCTGCGCGCCGCGGCGTCGCCGGGCAGGTCGGGTCAGGACGCGTTCTCTGCCTCGCGTTTCGGATAAAAATCCGTTCCGTCCGAGAGACGGCCCGCGTCGGCCGACGCACTGCGAGCGGCGCGGCGCGCGACGCGGACGACCCGCGCGGCGGTCGGGTCGGGACCGCTCGGTCGCTCGCGGCGACGGCCATCGCGCGGCACCTCGCGATCGCATTCGCACGCGCGCCAGTCTCGGGCCGTCTACGTATAGAAACAAGATGCTGAGGCCGATATTGAGGAAGCGCGCGCGGCGCGACGACGACGACGCCGCCGCCGCCGCCGCGCCCTCGACAAAGAAGCTGTCGTTCGACGTCACGGAGGCGCGCGTCGTCGGCGTCGCGGACGCGGACGTGGACCGCACGCCCGGCGAGTGCCCGCTCCCGTGCGGCGGATGCGGGCTCCGGTGCATCGCGCGTTACTACGCGTGCGGCGCGTGCGGCGCGAATCACGGAAACAACGACGACGCGTTCGTCCTCTGTCCGACGTGCTTCGGCGCGCACGTGTCGACGACGGAGAGAGCGAGAGAGAAGGC